TTGGGGAGGTTCCTTCGTAAGTGCAAAATGGCAAAATACTAAAGCGACGTAAGAGTTCAGATTACTTGCGTAAAGTGTAAAATGAAGTTAACATACAAAATAGTATAAAAGTGTGGGATCCTCTTTAATGTGGCGGCCTGAGAATAACACCTATTAGAAAAAAACAGACTTTAATTTTCCGGTAGCTCGAATTTCGGGTAGTTCGATCCGGTGCATATCCGTGTAGGACATTCTCCCGGCGTTGGAGATTGATCAATGCAGGGTAACGGTCCAGATTCAGTATCGTAAGCTAAGCTTACGAACGTTACGAAGGAAAATGTGCTTTGACGTAACCTACGCTTTGAAAAATATGCTTTGTACTCACATAATTATTGTTGTCTTTGTCTGGCGCCATTTAGTTAGAGAACGAAATATAGTTTCTTTCCCTGTTTTAGAAATTTCCTAGATTGTTGTTTCATATTATAAGCAGCTTAAAGAGTAAATCAAAGCAAAAATGCAGTGCTCACAGCCTACTAATAGGATCTGCTTAGAGCAGTAGGTTCAGTCAGAGGCGGTGTCTATCAACATCGCAACTTGTGCGCAGCACAATTGCAATCTATTTTAAATTTAGATTTCAGACCAAGAATACTACTGAAACACGTTAGACAAGTTAGCAGTAGATTTCTGTATTTTCGCCTAATACTGTTATTCACGGCTGTGTCAATTTTGCTGTTGAGTGTGTCAGAGAGAACTCGATGAGCTCGATCGAATGGTATGTTTCAATCTAGAAAACATTCGCTATAGAATAATCTAAGAGCAAAATACTCCATCTTATGACCTTTTAGGTCAGTATTTTGACTTAGTATAAGCACTATCGACCAAGTTAGAAACGGTTTTCTGAGTAACACGAAACTCTTATTCAAAATTGATGATTTTTTTTATATAATTGAGACAAGGAAAGATTTTCTTCCGAAACGCTTCTGGCTTTGAAAAATTGCTGAATATGGCCTTTTGATAGAGCTTTCCAAGGACTCGACAATGGTTTCATGTGCATTCACTTGAATTAGTATATGACTGCAATTCTCGTACATATTTAAATATCTTTTCATTTAGTGTCAAAAATATTGTATTTATAGAGAATTTGACTTAACACAACGACAGAGAGCAGCGACTCATCAACGAAATTTTGCATAGGGAGTGTTTGTTATAGTCAAACTACTTTACATCCCAGCCGTCTTACTCTGGCACATCAATAAGCAGTACCATAATTATTCTCTTGAAAAAGACAACAAAAGAAACAAGAGTGCAGCTCTTTTGCAACTGTTAAAACCTAATTTCAGCTACCTAATCAGCTACTAGCAATATCAAAGTATTGTTTAAAGCAAGAGGTTTTCTTAAAATGTTTTACTATTAAAATACATGAGTGTCTTCAAACAAGAGTTCAAACTTTGTAGATTCAAGAAAGCCAAATACTAGAAATTCTCATCCAGCCCAGAGATCATACTGCTATAAAAAAGCCTAAACTGGTTTCTATTCTGGTAGTAGACTGATCAAGTTAAGATAGATTTATTTAAGCTGATATAGGTTTTTACCATATTTTTGACTTTTATGCTGATGGGGAACGTCGCCACGAGACTCATTCGAAAAATATATCGATAAGTCTAAATACTTTTACGTAAACGATAAGTATCTCATGAATTAGAGTAAAATTCGCAGGGACATCTTTTTTACAGATTTTTTAGTCAGATGATATTTTATCTGACAGCAGAATTCCTGTGGAATAGTACAATTCTTGTTGAAAAAGTCCAGTCGTATTGGGTTTAGGAAAATGAATAATGAACCTTTTTGGGTTTATTACACGAATTCATAGAGCATTCGGGTTTCTGGAAACGCTTTTTATTTTCGGTATGGTAGAAGGCAGATAGTTCGTGTCAGTGTTCAACAATTCATACGAACAAAGTAACTGCAACTTCTTACTGATTAATGATTAAACATTAATTTTACATTCTTGTGTGTTCAATACTATACAGTGATAAATTTGTAAAAGAAGAAAGGTTACCTAAAAGATATGTTGATCACACTGTTGTTGCCACTAAAATCAAAAATTTTATTTTTGATTGTTGTAAACAATGTAATTATATATAAGCCTTGGGGTACACTTGCGTAAAATTTCATTGTTCGAAAGAAATACAAGAGAAAAAGACATGAAAAAAGCAAAGAGCACAGTGAATTCGTGATTGCGAGTCATCGCTTTTTTCTTTGATTTCTCAGTATGAAAAATTGAACTGGATTCTGTGAGTGCTTGAAGAGTCACGATAAATGCACTTTTAGATCTAAGGACTAAAAAATGCCGGTGAGCAGTGAGAATAAAAATGGACCTTATAAACCTCAGCCAATAAAAAAGGTAAAGAATATTGTTTCGGTCTAATTTTCTTCAATCAGTTTTGGCATGAAGAAATTTTTAGACTGTCCCACCACGAACACCACCTGTTGAGGAGGTGAATTTAAATTTGGAAACACAAATTCTCTCTCAAACAAAAACGTAAGTGAATACTTCACACTAACACTGAATTCTCATTCACATTGCTCAATTTTCGAGAGCTAGTAAATCATTTAATGGATTGCTGAAAACTTTAGCAAGAACCATGTACCGTCTTACACTGTAAAAAAGAGTGTTTTCAGAAAAGAATGGTGCAGTATTCAAAACACTGTGGTCCTCAGATATGATTGAAAGATTATCTTATCTACATGTCGAACTTTTTCTGCATGAATTTAAACGTTTGAAATTATTTTAGTGCAGCAAACAAATTGAATTACGTTCTTATAGCAGGCACTTTGATTGTATTCGTTGGTGTTTGTGCTGCGGGAGTCGTTCCAGCTATGGTTATTACGACCCTTTATAAACAGAGTATTCAAATGATAGTAAGGACTAGTAGAAACAGCCTAATTTATTTTCAGTTTTGTTTGCAGCTGCATCAAATGTAATTAATACGACGTCAGTCAACAATACAAATTCTTCAGCGAATACAACAACATCACTGGTACTAAATTTTAGTTGAGATGATAAAGATTTTAGTTTTCTATAGACCTTAACGTTGATATAAGCTTTATTCTATCAGAATACAAGCGGAAAATATTCCGTTATAGTATTCTAAACTAAAACTATCGAAAAACACAAAATCAGTTTTGTACGAATAGAAATTTGATCATATGAACTTAGCTTTGTAGTAAGCTACAGAACTAAATTTACTGTTCTGTATCTATATTCTGCACAACGATTGAAATTGTGCAATCGACTCGATGTTATTAGTAGTTTTTTTGTGTTCTGTGTAACGTCTCCGACACAACAGTGGTTTTTGATTATTTTTCGGTAATTTTCTCGTTCCGTTTAGGTCAGCACTACAACCGTGGTAAATTCTGGTTTTGTTACGTATACACGTTTCGGACACAACAGTAGTTTTTGATTATTTTTCGGTAATTTTCTCGTTCCGTTTAGGTCAGCACTACAACCGTGGTAAATCCTGGTTTTTTTGCGTATACAAATCTTACTGGTTGTCAGCCATATTATTGTGCTGAACAAGTTCATTTAATAAATAATATCACTGTCACAGCATTAACAATTATTATTCGTGTACAAAAAACATCCGCAGCCACATATCATGGTGTAGCAAATAATTTTTGGACAGGATATATCAATTCAAATCATACGGATAACGGAAGTCAAATTATTTATACATTTGTATTGGATCCAACTCAGACAGTGGTAGCTTCGACTACCTGGTATGTGGAAGCACAGATGGATCTGTATGGAACATCACAAGTAACGAGTGCAGATACGTATACAGTGAGTGTCACCGGTGGTGGTATAACAAATAGTTATTCAGGCCATTTCTGAGAAAATACTATTTCTTCCTCTTAAATCATTTTTTTGTTATTTATTTTTCTATTTTAAAATGGCTGATATGAGTGAAAACAGTTAAATTCATTCTTATGGCTAAGATGTTTTGTTCGTACAAAAGGCAGACATTAGCATAATGCTGAGAAGGGAAAAGTCTGGTTCGAAAGTCGAAAAACAGTAAAAAACAAACCGTTTACAAATCATGTTTATGTTGGTTAATATGACTCCATAAGTGCTCAGTGTCACTTGTAAGTATCGTTAAGATAGATAAATGTATATCACATGATAGCCCAGTCGCAGTAATGGAAGATCAAGGTACTAGAACAAATGACTCTTATCCGTACTTCAGGCTCAAGAAAGCTCTTTTATTGCTCAAAACGTTTAGGCTATCTGCGAAAAAACTTTTGTTTGAATTTTGAATCACCGTTGATGTGTAATTCGAGGCGTCCTATCTAAGTATTTATTTACTTCTTTTTGTCAAATGAACGTAAGAAGTCTTTCGACATATTTCGGACAATAGTCCATCAATTGTTTCTACTTCAAAGTGCTTATCTTCATCTTAAATACGATCATGTGTTTCTTGTACTTCTTCTAATGTAGGAACAGATAGAGATGGCAGATCTAAAGGAAGATTTAGAGAATTTTAGTTGAAAAGTAAAGTAAATTGCGTCACACGAAACAACTTGCTTCTAAAACGTCATGCTAGAGGTACGTAAAAAATGTCCATGACTCGTTTACACTTCTCAGTAGGACTACTTATAACTTTTGATATACAACAAGAATTTCTTTCAAAATTTAGCACCATATAGCACTATTGTAGTAGTCCAAAGTTATTATGAGAAATTATAAAAAAATTCCTCTGCTTTTTTAATTCCGACTAATTAAGAGACCGTTTACTTTGGACGAAGATTTTTCTGTGCACGGTTTTTTCCAGAACTATGCACGGTTTGCTGTTTTTCGTGCACTAGAAAATCTTTTGACATTTTTGTGCACGGTTACAGAAAGGCCGAAATATGCATGACTCGTTTACACTTCTTAGTGGGACTACTTATAACTTTTGATATACAACACGAATTTCTTGCAAAATTTAGCTTCATATATTACTATTGTAGTAGTCCAAAGTTACGATGAGAAATTAAAAAAAAGTTGCTCTGTCTTTTTT